TTTATAGCGTGTGTTATAAAGGTTGTTAAGTTTAAAGTACGGTGGAAACTGTGTATATTACGAAGTTGTATCGAGAAAGAATAAACTAGTTTTAATTAAAAAAGGACTTGTATCGCTGAAGGTCCAGGGACAGAATTTATACCGGAAATTAACAAACGACCAGATACGTAACAAAGCAACACAACTCTGTGCTCACTGCGACTATCGAACCTCAACTTTGAGCTTTATAAGGTCTCTGATATTTGCAGAAACGCCTGTTGACTGGCGAGGAGTGATCAAGAAAAAATATGTTGGATTTCAAAATTTGGAAGATACGGTTTTATCAGTTGGCATGTCTTACAACTGACATTGCCCCCCAGTGGCACAGCGGTATGTCTGCGGACTTAAAACGCTAGAATCCGGGTTTCGATACCTGTGGTGGGCAGAGCACAGATAGCCCATTGTGTAGCTTTGTGCTTACTTACAAGCAAACAAACAAACAAACAAACAACTGACATTATGTTCTGCGTATCTCCTTTACTGAATACATAACACACGTTGTTAACGAAATAAAAATAAGATAGAAGCATTGATTTAAAAATAACAGTTAATAGATAAATACGAAAGTGGATTAACTGGGCGAAATATTATATAAAAGGTTTGTTTATTTGTTTGTTTTTGAATTTCGCGCAAAGCTACACGAGGGCTATCTGTGCTAGCCGTCCCTAATTTAGCAGTGTAAGACTAGAGGGAAGGCAGTTAGTCATCACCACCCACCGACAACGCTTGGGCTACTCTTTTACCAACAAATAGTGGGATTGATCGCCACATTATAACGCCCCCACGGCTGAAAGGGCGAGCATGTTTGGTGGGACTGTGATTCGAACCCTCGACCCGCAGATTGCGAGTCGAGCTCCCTAACCACCTGGCCATGCCGGACCTTATATAGAAGGAAACTCTCCATCTGTCGTGCGCCTGTCCGTTACGATTGAACAGCTATAAAGGAACATTGCAGGACTACACAGCGTGGTCACATGTAAATAGACACCACCTTTTCAGAAAAAAATTAAATTTTTCAGTCATATTCACATGAATTGATATATATATATATATATATATA